GAAATTTATCCAGTCACCCGTATTAACACACTTTCGAAATGTCGCAGTTTCGAAGTGTCGCGGTTTCAAGGTGTCGCGGTTTCGAAATGACGCGGTTTCGAAGTATCGCAGTTTCGAGATGACTGGTTTCGAAGTGTCGCGGTTTCAAAATGACTGGTTTCGAAGTGACGCAGAGTCTTGAAATCATGGGAAAATCGATTAAACCCGTTTCGGTACCGGCCATTTTTCAAAATCGAACTATCTAGAAGCGGGGTCATTTCGCAACAGTTCTAAAGCGTCCGGTTGCGAAGCGATCAGTTAGAATTGAGCATTTTTTACGAAATTTTCAAAAAAAAATTTATTCTAATTCGATTTTTGTTGGAATGTTCATTTGGACCCTACCTTGCGATACTGCTCCTCGGACATCATTGGCATCATTTCTCGTCCCAGGCGGTCTTCTTCTTTTTCGATTATGTCTTTCTGGAAAAAAAACACAATTTTAGGTGAAACTTCGCAATTTTCAAGCCAAAAATGTTCCATTTTTTGACTTAAAGGAGGATTCCGGGCAAAATGAGTTTATAGTTCAATCGATGCAAAATTTCATGCTGATTCCGAATATCATAATAAAAATGCTCAAAAATGCTTCCCAGCCCAGAAAAACGTCATCAAAGTTGCCCAAAAGTTATCCCTCCTGGCCTAACTTTTCACGTAAACAGTGCAAAAATTGAAATCCACGTGGAAAATCGACGAAAGTTCGGCCACGAGGGATAACTTTTTTGTAACTTTGACGGCGTTTTTTGGACCTGAGAAGCATTTTTGAGCATTTTTATTATGATATTCGGAATCAGCATAAAATTTTGCATCGATTGAATCATAAACTCATCTTGCCCGGAATCCTCTTTTAAACCTATTTCGAAAGTGCAATTTCTTTCAGATTCACCTTGTTCGATGGTTCATGACAATCATCGCCGGACTTCCGAACTCAATTTCATCTCCACTGACACGCACCCGAACACCCATCACAAACTCCAATAGTCCCTGAAATATGGTAGCAAACTTTTCATTCTTCTCCTAATTCAAATATTCTCAACTGTCTGCGCCTCTCTCTCTCTCTCTCTCTCTCTCTCTTTCTCTCTCTCTCTCTATCTCTCTTTCTCTTTCTACTTCTTCTCCGGATCAAAGAAGACCGATACATGGTTAGTCATCACTGAACACTTGCAAAAAGTCACCAGACAGAAGCTATGTTGCTTTTTTGCGCGCAAAATGCGTAATTCAAATTTCTCAAGTAGTGTCTAGTAACCTTGGGAGAAATCATAACATAAATACGGATCAGAGTCCAAATATTCAAATTAGAACGTACCATTGGAATCGTCATCCAATACGAAATGGCACGATCCATCAGATTTCGCCATGTTTTGTGTTTTCCAAGAAGCGGAAGACCCAGAAATAAAGTGATAATATAGTTACCAAAAAGTGCTGAAAATAGAATAGATAGCCCGAAGAACCATCCAAGCAACGGACGTAGCAGACACGGAATCCGCATCGTCTTCTCAACTTTCTTGGATTGAAAATAGGAAGGTGTTTCCAACTCGAATCGCCCTTCGTGTCTCTCTCCCCCGCGAGACGTCTTCTTTCTTCGATTGGCCTAGTTTGTCTTCTCCCTCCGTCGACTTATATCCCTGCGGCGAACGTACACGTTCTATCCGCTGTTGTGAGTAGAGGATACAGGAGAGGCTATACATGTTACAGTAGGTTAACTAGGAATTATTTATTGTTCGAACTTTAACACAAAAAGAATACAGCAAGCCAATGTGGCTGAATAGACCCGAAATTTATTTGGAGATTGAATAGAGTTGTCGAACTTCGAGCAGGAGAAGCTAGCTTCGAATCGGAGCTGGAATCTGAAAGAAACCTTTGCTTTTTATAGAAGATTCAGATACTGTGCGATCTGTTTCACGTCTCGAAGAATTTGATAATGAAACTAGACACACAGCTTTTTATTTATCCTGTTCTCACCTCCGCTTTTTCTATCTCAACACATTTTGACGCCAAGACTTGCCCGCACTTTCTCATACACCACGTAACTGATACTGACCGCGGGAATCACCTGTTTTG